AATGGTATGATTATAAGACTGAGTGGAAAAAACTTATTACATATAATGTTTCACTTATAAAATGGGACCAACTGACTTCAGTTTTGCCTGGGTGGATCTTGAGATACTCAGTATCATGATTGTTACAAAGTAGCAATTATCTTAAAAGAATTTGCTGAGAATTTCAGTTTTTAATGAGATTCTAAAAATGGACATTTCTACATTGATACTATGTCTGAGTACCTTTCTTAGACTTTTTAATTATTTTCTTTGCTTTTGTGGTGCTGGGGGGGCTCCAACTGAAGCCTTTGAGTATGTATGTTAGACTTGGGTTAGAAATAGTTTTTCTGTGACATTGTTTACAATAGCAAGGTCTAAAAGAATTTGACTCTTGTCCCTCTTCCCTTTTGCTCTTAATATTTAGGGATTTTTTTTTATTGTCCTCAAAATTAAAACAGTAGTGTATTTTGTAAAAATGTATAGTGTACTGTGTTTTTTTATATTCCCATGTTAAAAGCAAGAAACTAATATTTTCACATTTCTTACATATCTTGATAAATATTTCAATTTTCATATGGCACCTAATACTAACTTTTCTCCCCTCAGGTCTCTTCCTGTTTCATAGCAAACCAGAAAAATGTTCTACGCACATTTCGTCCTCAGTAAAAGAGGGCCTCTGGCCAAAATTTGGCTAGCGGCCCATTGGGATAAGAAACTAACCAAAGCCCATGTGTTTGAGTGTAATTTGGAGAGCAGTGTGGAAAGCATCATCTCACCAAAGGTATGTTTGATGTTGGTGGTTTTGTCTTTGTTTATTGACATATTACATAGAATTTATAAAACAATTATCTCCGACTAGGAGACAAGGAAAACCCATAGATTCTCCAGTTTCCATTTATTATTTTAATCTCGATCATCATTTGACATGGTCAGAGCTCAGTGTTATCTTTTCATTAAAATTCAGTGGCAAATAAGCATGGGGTAGACATTACCCAAATATTTTGCACTCAACCTTCTAGATATTCCTATACTTAAAGTGTATGTGTTCATGATTTAGGAGTTAATAACACATTCAGAATAAGGGACTCTTCATGGACGCTTTCTACCCTATCCACCGTACTCAGTGCTGTCCATACCACCTACTTCACCTCACACCCACAATGCTCTGCTGTTTCTTAAGAATGCCAGTCTCTTCTTACGGCAATACTTTTGTGCTTACTATCCCCTCTCAATTTTTCCTCCCTAATTTATTCTGTGCCTTCGTCTAAGATGAAAGCATCATGAATATACTTAGCTCATCTGCCTATGGACACCGTTGTTGACATTCTGAAAGTTTCTAGAGCAGTGGCTCCATTTCTATTTTACAAACCACATAACTTAAATTAAAACAAAATTTTTCTTTTCAAGTACAATTACCGTCTACTATTATAATTCACATTTTATTGAAGGACAGATATGTTGACATTATCAGTGTACCAAGGCTGGGTATGGTGGAACACCTTTAATTACTACATAAAGTCCTGTCCTGTATTTTATTTTTACATACATGTACCCAGAGTACATGAACTGGCAGTCCTGTAGCAAAAACTTCTACATTATAGCTGTATGGACTGGCCTTGAGAAATACTCTTTAGAATAGCTAACTTGGACCATGTTGGCATTGATGTCAAAAAGAGTAGCTCTTTGTTGTTGGAAGAATGGGAGAATGTCGGGCATGATGCTGGAGATGCAGCAGAGACCTGTTCTTAACAGCTGTGCGGAAATGTATGCTTTTAGGTGGGAAGCTTGAAAATGTCTTTGTATGTGGAGGTTTGCCTGGTTTTAGGTAGATTGTGAAACTTACTAGTGTTGAAGACATTTGTCATGTTCTAAAACAGTACTAATACGAAGTTTTGAAAACTTGGCAAATGAGGAAAATGAATGGCCAATATTTTGCTATGCTTTCTAGAATTTTGAAGGTGTGTGTGTTATACACATAATTTGTTTTATTATGTACATAAAAAGGTTATATTCTTTTGCAATTGACTGCATTCAGGAATGGCTCTTAAAACTCATTTAATTGTTATACCTCAGCAGAGTCTTATCTGTAGAATGTAGATACAAAATTTGAAACAGACCTTGTCTGAAGTAAAATAATTTAAGTAGTCCTAAAATCACTATAGGATTTCATATCTTGAATTACAAGCCCGTAAGTCATTGTTTGGATTGAACATGATTTGCTTAAGCCGCCTCTATTTGAATAGTTTACATTATTTCTAACTTTTTCAAGTCTAATTCCTCTGGTCCCATGGATTGCAATTATTTAAAAATGACTGCAGAATGATGCAGTGGAGGAAAGGGTAGTCTTTTCAGAACAAGGAGGTGACTTGATTTCAAGCCTGAAATCCATGTTAAAGCAGGACTCAATGGCCGATGTCTATAACTGGGAGACGGGTTAGAGGGGTGGAAACAGGATCATCTTTCCCCTTATCCCCCACTCCAAATGTTGCAGGCCAGCAACTCTGGAGTACCGTATACTGGTACAGGGATAAGAACTGCTTCAAAATCAAGGTAGAGGGCCAGCAAGATAGCGCAACAGGTTAATAATAAAAGCAAGGTAGAAGGCAAATTCTGACACCTGAGATTGTCTTCTGACCTCCACGCACTACAGCATATGCTGCAGAGACAAACAAGTAACACATTATACACACATACATACATAAAAACACTTTTCTTAAAAAACAGGCTTTTCAATAAAGAGTACTTGAAGAAATGGAACTGCATGTAAGAAAATTAATTTGCAAACAGACCTTATTCCAAAAAAGAACAGATCAGCTCATAGAGTAATAGCCCTGAATGTAAACTACAAAGTCATAAAATTCCTAGAGGATAGCAGAAAAATCTATTAATAGTTGATCTTGAGTTCGAAAATCCCTCTTGAGATACAGCACCAAAGGCATAACCCATCAAAGAATTTATAAGTGGGGCTGGAGAGATGGCTCAGCAGCTAAGAGCACTGACTGCTCTGTTCCCAGCGCCCATGTGGCAGCTAAAAACAACTGTCCGAAACTCCAGTTCCAGGACATCGAACACTTTTCTGGTCTCCATGGGCACCGCATACACATGGTACACCTACATACATCTAGGCAAAATGCTCATATATGTAAAATAAAATATATATCTTTTTAATTTTTAAAAGAATTTATAATGTAATATTTCAATAAAATTAAGTTTTCTGGGGTCAGAGAATATAATTTCAGTAGCAGAACATGTATTAAGCACTAAGAAAAAACTTTGTGAAAGACACTATCAAGAGAATGAGAAGACACTGTAAAGTAGTCCAGGACGTCTCTGTGGAAAAACGTGTCTGTTAGAGGAATGTTATTGAGACTAAACAGAAAATGCCTAAAGCTCGGGGGGGGGGGGGGCTTTAAATTGGGCCCAAACTATTTACCAGACAGTTCATCAAAGAAAATATATGAGAGGGAAATAAATATATTTAGCGGTGTTTGCACATCATGTGATCAAAGAAATTCAAATTAAAATAACCAGATGCCATCAGCTATTTATTAGAATGACCAAAATCCAAAACACTGAATATGCGAAGTGGTGATGAGGATGTAGAGCACTCATGCTTTGTCACTGGGAGTGTGAAATTGATCAGCCACTTTGAAAGATGTTCAGTATTTTCTTGGGTGTGTAGGTATATTCTTTGTATACAACCCAGCAGTCTTATTCCTTGGTATATGTACTCAGAAGTTGAGAACTTAGGTCTGTTTAAAAACCTGTAAATAGGTGTTTATAGCAGCTTCACTCAGAGTGTCAAAGTAGATGTTATCAATGGGCAAATGAATAAAACTAGTATATAAAACAATCTTAAGTCTAACATGGTTGCACATGCCTGTAATCCTAACACTTGGGAGGCAGAAGCAGGCAGATCAGTATGAGTTTGAGGATACCATGGTCTATGTAGCAAGTTCCAGGCCAGCCAGTTGCACATAGTCAGACCCTTTCTCAAAAAGAAAAGAAAGAAAAAGAAAAAAAACTTAAATGACTTAATAAGTAAAACAAGCTAACCTGAAAAGGCTTCGTGCTGTATGATTCTGACTATAGGATAATCTTGAAAGGCAAAACTATGAAGATAGTGAAAGAAACAAAAGATTAGGGCGACCACAGAATTCTCTTTAGAGCAGTAAGGCTATTCTCCTTAGACTGTAATGGTGTAATGATGAGTGTGTGTCACTATACATCTGTCTAAAATTACAGAAAGTACAGAACCAAGAATGAGCTTTGGGTAATAATATGCTGATGTATAATTTTTCAGTTACAGATGTGCCAGTTTGTTGGGGATGTTGATAGATAGGCTGCTTGGGAGCACATGGGAATTTCTGTACCTTCTACTCACTTAAGTTTTGAACCTAAAGCTGCCCTAAAAATTGTTTTACAAAACATTGATAGGTACAGAGTTCTGAACAGTTTTTCTTAAATGCAATCTTGTAGCACTATAATACAGTGCATATAAGAATAGATCTACATATAAAAATAATGAATGTGTGCATGACTTAGAAGGTACGTGCACACAAAGTCTAGCCTGAATAATGACATTAAAGATTACAGGTTTTTAGTTTACTTTTTTAATGTAGCCATTTAGTAAATATTTCTTAAATCTCTGTTCACAATCTTTTTTTTAATGTTTTATTTATTATTTTTATTTTATGTGTATGAGTGTATTGCCTGAATGTATGTGAGTGTACCCATGTCGTGCAATGCCACAGAGGTCAGAAGAGGGCTTCGGATTCCCTTGGAATTGGAGTCATAGCCACCATGTGGGTGCTGGGAATCGAACCCAGTCCCTCTGCAAGAGCAGTCAGTGCTCTAAAGCACTGAGCCATCTCTCCAGCCCCTCTGTTCACATTCTTAATTCTTCCTTAAGATTGATGCTTAGGAATATAGTTGATGGGCTAAGTGATAATATTGCTTATGTTTCTGATAGAAATGAACAGTTTGCTACAGGTGAGATTGTACCAGTTGTATATCTGGTCAAATTGTATAAGGACATGGTACTTTTCTTCTTACAGATGGGCTTTTTCAGAAAACTAGAAACTTGAGAAATTGTGCTCTTTTCTTGAAATTAAAATATATGGCTAATCTTTAACATCCATAAGCAAATATTGAGAGTACTTTGGCTTTAAAGGATGTTCTTGGTTTTTTTGTATGTGCTTCTAATTTGTACACTACAAAAAGTAAGAGGCAGTCTAATAGATTAGAGTATGTGTGACAGCCACAAGACAGCTCAGCAGTACTGTGAAGGATAGCGATACATGTGGGAGAGAGCCAGCTGCTCACTTAAAAAATGTTTAGACCATTTCTGCACAGCTACTTACTTGATCTTTATTGTAAATGTGATGTGAAGATATTTTCACAGTCAATTAACCTGAACATTTCTGTTTGCTTTGATGTGCGCTTCTTGTGAAGAAATGATTTAGTTGTTGAGGATGTGTCAGGCCTGTGGCTCCATCATAACTGTGACTCTATGTGGTCTCTGTTCTCCCCCACTCTTCCATTAGAAGAGCCACCAGCTAGATACCCTTTGCAAACCTTTCCTTGAACATATAGCCTGTGGTTTTTATATTTACATTATCATATTTACCGTCTTTTTCTTGAACACACACTACTTCCTCATTTTACCACTCCAAATCACAGTAGTCCAGGAATAAAACCTTTTGTGCAAACACTACATTTTGGAAGTTGCTAATTCTAGACAAGATAGTAAGCTGCCTTTTTCTCTCCCTTTCTTAGGTGACTGTGCAGTCTATAATTTTAAACTCCATAAGAGCTCATATGAATAGATTTTTTTTTCCATTAGTTTAGAACAGTATCTTTTTCTTCTATGTGTATGAATGTTTTGCCTGCATGTATGTAAATGCACCTGTGCGTGCAATGCCTACAGAAGCCAGAAGAGGGCATCAGATGCCCTGAAATTAAAGTTAGAGATGGTTGTTAGCCACCATGTGGGTGTTGGGAATTGAATCTGGTTCCCTTGCAAGAGGAGTCATTGCTGCTAACTGCTGAGCCATCTTTCCAGCCCCAAGAACAGTATCTTAATTGGAAATTGTGTTCTACATTTGATGACAGACTTGTTATAATTTGAGATACCTAAAAGTTTACAGCAACAGACATTTTGTAGTTTGTGCTTTAAATCACATAAAATGGCCATAAATGTAGAGCATAGGATTCCTAAATAGGGTCCTAGAAAAATGCAGCATACATATGTAACTTAAAGATACACTTTAAGTAACATAATGTACATAATTTAATTTTAAGCATATATTTTAGCAGTTTTGTTACTTTAGATCTTGATAAGCTCGAGTTTATGAAATTATTTGTTAAAGGAAGATATGTGGGAAAGTCTAAACTCGTATTTTCTTTTAGTAATTTTTTTTCTTGTAGCCAGAAGAATTTTGATCCTTATTAGTATGTCGTCTAGTCTATTAATAGAGAAAAATGAGCAGTAACTTAAACAATAAGGGAAAGTGTTATTTGAAGAGAGGTTTGAGAACAGACCTAGAATTTGTTCGGCAGCTTTAAGACATCCCAAAGCTTTGTAGCTCATTGACTCCTGGCCTGTTGCTCATACTACCATGGTTGTACAGTGATGCGAGCAGCTCCAAGCCCTGGTCGTACAAAGCAAGAAAGGTGTGGAGGAAGACAGGCATTCTCGTATTTTGAAAAATCTTTCTCAGAAATTTTCTGGCAAACTTCACCTTTGTTTCTCAGTTGACTAAAGTGTGCTAGCATGCCCAGTCCATAGCAAGTTTTAACAGAGAAGAATGAGATAATCATCCTTTAAGGCCAGGAATATTTCCTTCTGAAATGAAGTCAGAATTCACAGTCTCCTTTCTGTGCTAATGTCAAAATCCATGGGATGATTTGATTCCTGCTTTGTAACTACTTTACATCTAAGTTTTAATTCGAGAATTACTACTGTTAGTTTATTTTGGGGGAGTGCTCTGGGATTAATCCATCAAGACAATAAGAAGATGTAAATGTTTATTAACTAAATCATAAAGGGTTTTAGAAAAAATGAAAATGCCCAGGATATGAAAAATAGCACAGGATACAAGTCTTGATGTGTACCTGCCTCTAAAGTTAAAATTCATGACACACTAGCTTAATACTAATGTTTTATTCTAAGGTGAAAATGGCACTGCGAACATCAGGACATCTCTTACTGGGAGTCGTTCGAATCTATCACAGAAAAGCCAAATACCTTCTTGCAGACTGTAATGAAGCATTCATTAAGATAAAGATGGCCTTTCGACCAGGTATTGTTGCCTTCTTCTTTTTTAACCTGTGGAGTTTCCTGGGCCTTTTGTAGAGAACATTGGATGAGCACATTTTTGTTTTCGTTGCAGTATAAGGAATCTTTCAAAGGAAACTCATTCCCATCTCTTTCTATCTGTGGAGTGATGTTTTTAACCTTATTTTCAGCTACTTAAAACTGAGTCCTTGGGGATTGACATGCTGAAAACTAATGTGATGAATTTTTAAAGGTGGCTTTAAAGATCGGTCTTTTTGAGACAGGGTCTCCCTGTAGCCCCAGCTGGCCTGGAACTCACTATATAGACCAGACTGGCCTGGAACTCACAGAGATCTGCCTGCCTCTGTCTCCTGAGTGCTCGGATTAAAGGTGTGCATCACCACACCCAGCTCCAAAGGTGACTTCTAAAATCAAATTGACTTATCTTCTGAGACTTTAATGTTCTTTGTAATTTTTTATTACTTTTCTTTTGGATAATGTTTGGTTCTACAATTAGATTCTACCAACCAAACTTAAATACATAATAACTGGAGTATACCTCTGAATTCACATATTCTGTAGTTTTTTTTTTAACATTGATGAAATGTTAATTCTATTTTAAATGATCCAAATATGAGCTAGGAAAATAGCTGAGTTGGTAATGTGATTATGAGCAAACATGAGGACCTGAGTTCAGTCCCCAGCACCCACAGAAAAAGCTGGGCATGGTAGCACCTGTCTATATCTCTATACTTCAGAGGCAGAGATAGGAGGATCCCTGGGTCCCCCTGACTAGCCAGCTATGCTGGATAGCTTTAGTATCAACTTGACACACATGGGTAGAGGGAGCCTCAATTGGGGAATTTCCTCTATTGGACTGGCTTGTGACCATGTCTGTGGGGCATTTTCTTGATTGTTGAGTGATGTGGGAGAGCCCAGCCCACCTTGGGTAGTGCCACCCCTGGGCAGGTGGGCCTGTGTTGCATAAGAAAGCAAGCTAAGCAGGGCCCAGGGGAGTAAGTCAATAAGCAGCGTTCCTTCATGGCCTGTGCTCCAGCTCCTGCCTCCAGGTTCTTGCCCTGAGTTCCTACCTTGGGCTCCCTGGTGAACTGTGACCTGGGAGATGTAAGCTGAATAAACCCTTTCCTCCCCAAGATGGTGTTGGTCAGAGTGTTTTGTTACAGCAGTGGAGAGACAAACTAAGACACCAGCCTAGCAGAATCTGTGAGCTCCAGGTTCTGTCAGAAACCCTGCCTCAATAATAATAATAACTGAATATGTAAAAGGGGTGCTTTGTACAGTAGATTATATTGATGTTATTCTGATACATCTATTCATTTGAATACATGACAGTAAACCCATAATATTTAATTTTTATTTTATCTTAAAAAGTGTTTATTGTAGATAGCATGCACGCTATATGCTTTTTTTCCTTCCATCTTTTTATTTATATATATACATATGTGTGTGTGTGTGTGTGACACAAGTATATGTGTTATAAAAGCATAGCTAAAATTGTGTCTCCTTCCTAAAATAACCAACTCCTAGGTTGGGAAGATAGCCTAGTTGGTAATGTGCTTGCTGTGAATTCAATTCCTAGCGCCCAAGAGGCCCATTTATCTCCCTACTAGCAACAACATAAAGAACAAGGGCTTAGTGGCGTCTATAATTCCAGTTCTAGGGAAGAAAAACTGGAAGATCCCTGAGACTTTCTGGGCAGCCAGTCTAGCCTAATTGGCGAGCTCCAAATTCAGTGGAAGACTGCCTTAGGAAAAGTAGAGCACAATAGAAGGGTCACTTGATGTTGACCCCTGGCCTCCACACCTAACATGCAAGGACACACACATAGACACAAATGTGAACATTTATTGGATTCCTTTGCACCCATTCCTATTGCCCATTGTAAATTTCATGCTAATTAGAAAGCTAGTGGTATTTGTTGATGTGTCCTTTTGAAGACTAGCTTAGTGCATAGTCAGTGCTTTTGACTTTCTTTGTAGGGCAAGTAGTATGACTTATGACACTGGTAGTAGAAAAAGAAGTTCTTGTCCTTCATGATGCTTTATGCGTGTTATCAACTTTTCTAGAACACAATCTCAGGAAACCTCGCTTCTCACTTTTCTGTGGCTCATGTAGCTAAGCCTTCAAGGTTGACATTTGTTTTCCAGGTGTCGTTGACCTACCTGAGGAAAATCGGGAAGCAGCCTATAATGCCATCACTTTACCTGAAGAATTTCATGATTTTGATCAGCCACTGCCAGACTTAGAGTATGTCTGTCCCTGTGGGTTTCCCCCTCTTGCTCTCTTCCCTCTTTGCTTCTCCTCATCTTCTAAATTGTTAGCTTGAGGTCTACAAAAAGCATAGTACTGGGATTCCAAATGTATTCTTTTCCATAGAATGTTTTGACACTGAGTTACTGTCCACCTGAAACACCTGTGCTTTCGTTTAGGATACTGTGTTAATATGAGATGCATAACCTAGAAAACATTTCTTCTGTAAGAAAATCATGTGGATAACAACTTTTAACAGTTAGGATTTGAGAATTCTGATACACTTAGAGCAAAGTTTACATATCCTGAGGAATTGTCTAGGTGTGTTCTTTACACAATGATATTGGTAAACTTGGAATTACTGCTTCAAGATAATTTTTTCAGAAATGTATATTAAAGACACCTAGTGGTTATCTTCTTAACCAAGCTGTACTGAGAGTTGCAAGTTTTAAAAATAAATAGCTATGGTGCCTGTTCCTGTGAAGAGTAAAAAAGTATCATTGTTAAAAATACACAAGGGAAAGTTATATGGAGGTGACCATTATGGCAGAGTACTGATTGACATTTCACCCTACCTACCAGTCCTTAACATCTGGCTGTCCTAACACAATGGGGGATGTGACTGCCACCTGCCAAACAATTGAGTAGCACAGTTGACAGCCAACCCTGAGCACCAAAGCCCACATTTACTTCACAACACGTTGTCTTTTTGAAATTACCAATTACTCCTCATTAAATTACTTTGCCTAGTTTCATATTGTGTTAATTCACATTGGGCACTGTCTGGCAGTTTTGATACCCACCCTACCTCCCATATTATGAACCTCATATCATCTGTAATACTGACTTATATCTTTTGAACATATCTGTAGTAGTATACTTTAGAAATACCAAAAATTGATTTCCTTAACATACATGGTCAGCACTTAAGCATCCCCAATTAGCCCATAGTTGTTTTTTCTTGGGTTTTATTTATCTTTCTATATTTTTTCTTTTTGGTTACAAGCTAAATTAAGTCTACATACTGCATTTGGTTGATACATCCAATAAATATCATCTTGGGATTCTAATACTCCTGCATTCTCTCCCTTCTTTTTTCCTTTTTCTTTACCATTTACTAGTTTTTTGTTTATGTTCTGCATTTGGCCAATAGTATTCCTCATTGGTGGTTAACATTATGTACATTTAACTTAATACTTTCAAATTATATGATAGACAGTTATGATTTGCTAGTAGATAACTTAAGTCTCAGAAAAGCTAAGGAACTCTAAAAGTTCATATAGAGCTTATAAGTTTCAGGGCCCTGGTACTTAAACCTAGCACATAGTTTCTAATTTTTTTGCTTCTACAATATATGCCATATTGCCTTAAGTAGTGGTTTTAATATGTTCTTTTGCTTGCTGGTTGTTCATGGCTCTAATTTTTAAATATAAATTAATTTTCAAATCGTATTTAGATTTTTAGGTTTATTGGCTATGGTATTACATGTAAAGGAACTTGGGATACTTTTTCCCCTTATAAATTGTAGTGAGACTTGAAACTGAAATGTGTTCAAACTTCTTTTAAAGTGACATCGATGTAGCCCAGCAGTTCAGCCTGAACCAGAGCAGAGTGGAAGAGATTACTATGAGGGAAGAAGTTGGAAACATCAGTATCCTACAAGAGAATGATTTTGGTAAAAGAGAAACAAATTGTTAGCCATTAGTTATTATATGATTATGCTGTTAAATTGCTGGCAAATTAAAGAGTACTAGGCTTAAGATTACCTTCATGTTGACAAAAACTTAAATTTTTATCATAAAAATTGCCAATTTGCCTTGTCAGCATGTCATGCATCCTTTCCTTAATGTATCAGACTTAAGATTTCATTTGTTGCTATTTGTGTTCCTCATGCACAATGATAAAACCTATATTTTTATTTGTGTGAAGATTGCCCATGCTGTAATAATGCTCACTTTTGAACCGTTTTGGAACAAATAGTTGCATTTTTGTAATCATCATTCAAAACTTCAGTGGTCGAAATTGGTAATAAGTCACGATCTCTTATGGATAATAGCACATTATAACAAAGTTGAAGTCTGAGAATGTCAGTGTGACCTTATGCATATAAAATACTTAGGATGACCTAAATCAGGATTTATGCCTGATTTTGTTAGTTATTCCCCAGTTGTACAAAGTTTAAACGACGTCTTTTAATACTTGAATATAAGTAATACTGCAGTAAGCAGATCTAACATTGTTATTGTAATAAATGATCAGCCTTTCTAACATTAGCATTTCTGACTTGTCTCAGCTAATGACTTATAAAATGTGTTTAGGTGACTTCGGAATGGATGACCGTGAAATAATGAGAGAAGGCAGTGCTTTTGAGGATGATGACATGTTAGTTAGCACCAGTGCTTCTAACCTCCTCTTAGAGCCTGAACAGAGTACCAGCAATCTGAATGAAAAGATTAACCACTTAGAATATGAAGACCAGTACAAGGATGATAATTTTGGAGAAGGAAATGATGGTGGGATATTAGGTAGGTTGTTAAGATTTCTTTATTCAGTTATCCATGCTGTTTTGAAACAATCAGTAGTTCTGAGTCCTAAGCAACTGTCTAGGTGCAACTGTGTGAATTACTCAGTTGGCTCAGTAAAAGTTTCTGGAAAACTAGCCTAAAAATGTTTAACTTGGTGTAGATCTTGTCAGTTTTAAAGCTGACTAGTTAATTAAGCTGCTGTATTTGTATTTAGTATCTATTAAGTAAATGTATTTTTAAATAAAGATAGGAACTAGAAATATAAGTGATGAACAGAAATTTTCTAAGACACTGTATTATGCTTTTATAAACTACCTTGAGAGAAACAAATTGAACACGTTTAAATTTAATCTACTCTGGCATAATTTTATTTTCCCTGGGTTTGTTATTGTGCTTTTAGTGTTCCTTTTTCAAATTTTTATATTTCCTATTTCAGATGACAAACTCATAAGTAATAATGATGGTGGTATCTTTGACGATCCCCCTGCTTTGTCCGAGGCAGGCGTCATGTTGCCAGAGCAGCCTGCACATGATGATATGGATGAAGATGATAACGTGTCAAGTAAGCACTTTATATTCAGGGGTATGAGGGTGATTGTGTGGCACCCAGAAAGACACATCACAAAACAGACTATTAAAAAAGTTGTGCCTTTTGGGCTGGAGAGCTGGCTCAGCCATTAAAGGCTCAGGCTCACAACCATAAAAGACAAAAAAGTTCTGCCTTTTAATAAGCTGTGAAAGTCCTTGATCGGCGTGCTTGGGATTGATTGCCTGTCCTCTTTCTCTTAGTGTGTCTTTACCTTTTACCCTTGCCCATTTTTGTGCATTTGAGTTGAACTGTGGACTACCTGGCAAATAGTAGACTGTTTCCTTAGTACTTGTGGGGTTTCTCTACACTTTCTAAGAGGGATGTCGTTTTCTGTTGGTAGGATATACGTGATATACCCAAGCCTATCATGACCAAGTTTGTTTTTACAGTGGGTGGGCCTGATAGTCCTGACTCAGTGGATCCTGTTGAACCAATGCCAACAATGACTGATCAGACAACACTTGTCCCAAATGAGGAAGAAGCTTTTGCTTTGGAACCCATTGATATAACTGGTAAGCAAGTCTTTAGATTTCAGTGTGTGTGGAGCATGAGAGTCCTGGTTTTTTTTCCATTGATCTACTGATGTTAAAGATAAATAACCTGCTTTGTGCACTCATCACTCATAGTCCTTATTCTGTCATAATTTGAATGTCTGGTAGAGGAGCTCTACAATAAGCTGCAAGGTGTCAAATTATAAGACAGGTTGTCTGTGAAACATTGTGTTACACTGTACAACGAGGTGGGGGTATGTAAACTACTAAAATACTGAAAACGTCACATACACTAAAATCAGTAATCTTGGGTCAGCAAGATGGTTCAATGGGTAAAGGCACTTGCCACCAATCCTGAAAACCTGAGTTTGTTCAATCCCCAGGACCCACACAGTGAAAGGAGATGTGCTCAGACCTTCACATGCAGCACACAAGCATACACACAATAAAAATAAATAAATAAATAAGATGTAATAAAATACCTTTTTTAAGAAAAATCAGGAATCTTTTTTTAGTCTTGTAGCGAAATATACTGTTTAATTAGATAATGGTTTCTGAGTAAAAGAAAAATTGAAAGATATAGAAGACAGCTTTTAATTTTAGGAAGAATGAGATAACTGGATTTCCTACAGAAAAGAATCACCAAAAATTAACTTGATTTCTGGTCAGAGAATACTTATGAACCTGATTTTATTTGAATATACATACATAGACTTCCCTCGTGGAACTTAAAGACTAACTGGGGAAGCATGCCTTGTTGATGCTAATAATATATTGCAGAACACTGTAGAATGGATAAAGTTCTCTGTAATATTTTAAATGAGACTGTGTGGGTCACTATAAAAGAACATGATGTGAGCTGGGCATGGTGGCACGTGCCTTTAATCCTGGCACTGGGGAGACAGAGGCACGCAGGTCTCTGAGTTCAAGGCCACCCTGGTCTACATAGTGAGTTCTAAGCCACCTGGAGCTACAGAGAAACGCTGTCTCAAAAAAGCCAAAAA